AAATCCTCTAACTGGCATGTGGCGCCTGGGTAGTAGCCTCTTTAATTTTCCAGGGCCAGTATTTCAGAGTGACAAGGTATTCTATTAACCTTGATATCCGACTACTGATTTTACAACCTGATTACGATCATTCAAAATAAAAGATAATCCTCTGAGTTTCAAATTCAGTTCCAAAGGTAATTTTGATATTTTTACTGTGGCAATTTTTAATTCATTGTAAACTTACAGTAACTATCTCAGTAAGCCTGATTTTCTTCTTATAGATTCAACATTTAACTAAAAAAACATATAGACATAGAGATTATCTTTTAACCTATCAGTTTAGATTGAAGTTAGACATCAAGAAAGTAAAAAAATTAATTATTTGATAACTATTGGCTCTTTCATCTTTGGATCTCTTATGTTATCTCTTACATCTTGTCAAAATTGAATGTCATTCCCTTCCTGCTTTAAGGAAACGCAAGTTTTTATTTAAATAGCTAAGCAAAAGGTGAGAGGCAGCCCTGTGCTATTTCCAAGAAAATGTGGCCATCGTGATAAACAATTGTGCTACAAATTTATTTGTAAAATGTTAGTGGCCAAAGTCAGGAAGTCAGAACTCAGAATAATTCCTCCACTCCCACCTTTTTTGACATGCACTCTTCAGGCCATAATAAATTAAATGCTAATGAGTCATTCGTGTTTCTCCATGACAATGAGGAGGAAGGAGAATTAAGGTGCCTCATGAACATGCTGTGTGTATGTTCCGATCCTACAATGCATAGGAAAACATATCCAGATACGTTTCTGCTGTTGAAGGAAATAGGTCATCATAGGTCACAGGACTATAACAACCACCACGACAAACTTCAGAAATGAATATTGGTTTTTGGAAGCTTTTAACCATATGGGACAGAGGCCAAACATTTTTTCTAAAAGCACTTTTTCATCTGCTCCACTTTACAGAACCCAACTGAAAATTAACAAACTAAACATTTTTAATATATCTACTCTTTTTTTTTTTCAGAAAACATCTGCCAAAAATGTAGAAATTTATTCAAATTTCAGTTGTGAAATAAGCTTTCTAGAAAGCTCAGTGACTGCTACATTTCACGTTTATTGTAAAACACTGTATAACTCTGTGTATTTGAGATTAAACATTGTTTAATCTACTTTAAACTCATTTTAAGAGCTGAAAAACACCTGACCTTTAAAAAACAGTGGTTCAGTTTTGGATATCACAGTAGTTTTCACAGTTTTAAAAAAAGGGTAATTGAACACTGGCATTAAATAGATATATTCTAAGCATACTGTTCATGACTACTTTAAAATGGAATGCTGAGTGTCTTCAGACACAAGGCTCAGCTAAAATAACCTTTAAGTACCACGTATGAAAGTTTCAATACACATATACTTTTAACTTATATAGCTGAAATTGAAGTGCACTTTTCAAATGTTAAATGGCATACAGAACTGTATATCTTAACTTGCACTACCACTATGTTTGCAATAATACCACTTTAATCATACATTAAAAAAAATTCAAATTCTGCTGCTTTATCATCTGTGTCCTAACAACAAACTCCTTTGGACAAGTCTGTATTTTCCCTTGTTACATGGAAGGATAAGCTCTGACAGAATACTGAGACTCTTGTAAAATAACCTGTTATATTTCTGACAATCATGAGTTTCAACTGAACTCTGGTGCTCTCCCCATTCCCACTGCATTATTCAGCAATGCAACAGCAAAATCTGAATCACATTAGTAACATGAGAAATGGAGCACATGGCATCAATGTATACAAGAGTTTGTCATAGGTGAATAGAAGTAGACTGAATAGTCCACTTATCTTTGTTACTTACACCTTCCTAGTGACTGTTAGTCATGGCATATTTATTTTTACAATGTGCGTATATTGTATTGACCACAATCATAACTTGACCACTAAAACAGGGCTGAGTTGAAGCTTAACCAAGCAATTTTTTTTACAGAATTTTGAATTCCAGAGAAGCTAGAGCAGATAAGCCCAGAACTGTTCTTGACCGGTAATAAAGAAAACTTCTGAAAATCATTTATCAAAAATACAGCTAGTCAGACAATATTGACAAAACTGCTTTGGCATAGGTCTGAAATTTGGAGGCAAAAAGACCTTTCAGAACAGTAGGGAAAGTAATAGATAAGGGAGAATCAGCTGACAGTTTATTCAGTTTTCCAAAAGGCTTCTGACAAACTCCTGATATGACACTCCTAAAGGACTTAAGTAACCACAGGAAAGTGAAGTGTTACTATGAATCAAAAACCGGCCAGAGTCTAGAAATAAAGGAGAAATAAACAAAACATTTTTATTATGGTAAAAAATAAACAGTAGAACACATCAGTATTCTCTATTACTAATTATCTGAAAAGGGATAGGAAAAACACAAGACAGGAAAAACAGTAATGACAAAGTCACGTAGAGATATCTCAAGCCACAGTAACAGCAAAGATCTTCAAAATGACTTATGAAAGTTCAATAGGCAACTTAATGGAAAATGACATTGGTGTTGATGAACAAAATACTACATATAGGAAAGATTAAACTACTAAGTTTTCATATTTCTAAGTTAAAGTATCCACTGCAGAAATCAGCATGACTGTAAAGATTTCAGTGTAAAAATCCAATCATGGAGTGTTAGTCAAAAACAACAGTGTGGCGGCACTTATAAGACAAAAGAACCAAATAGGACAGAAAGTACTTAACAACATTCTGTAATCAGTG